ACACTGGCGACCTGCACAACAACAACAACAACAACAACAACAACAACAACAACAACAACAACAACAACAACAACAGCAACAACAACAACAACAACAACAACAACCACAACCACAAGAAGAAGAAGAAGAAGAACAAGGGCGGAGGCCATACCTGCGTCAGCGGTACTTAACTGGGCGCCATAGCCGTGCTCCACTGGCGATCTGCACAACAACGACAACAACAACAACACATACCTGCATCAGCGGTACATAACTGGGCGCCATAGCCGTGCTCCACACTGGCGATCTGCAGAACAACGACAATAACAACAACACATACCTGCATCAGCGGTACATAACTGGGCGCCATAGCCGTGCTCCACACTGGCGACCTGCACAACAACAACAACAACGAAGAAGAAAAAGAAGAAGAAGAAGAAGAAGAAGAAGAGGGGCGGAGGCCATACCTGCGTCAGCGGTACTTAACTGGGCGCCATAGTCGTGCTCCACACTGGTGACCTGCACAACACCAACCACAACAACACATACGTGCGTCTGTGGTACTTAACTGGGCGCCATAGCCGTGCTCCACACTGGCGACCTGCACAACAATAACAACAACAACAAAGACAACAACAACAACAACAACAACAACAACAACAACAACGACCACAAGAAGAAGAAGAAGAAGGAGTAGAAGAAGAAGAAGAAGAAGAAGAAGAAGAAGAAGAAGAAGAAGAAGAGGGGCGGAGGCCAAACCTGCATCATCGGTACTTACCTGGGCGCCATAGCCGTGCTCCACTCTGGTACCCGGGCGCCATAGCCGTGCTCCACGCTGTCGACGTGCACAAAAAAACAACAACAACAGCAACAACCACAACAACAACCAGAACCACAACCACAACCACAACCAGAAGAAGAACGGGAAGGGGAAGGGGAAGGGGAAGGGGAAGGGGAAGGGGAAGAAGAAGAAGGAGGAGGAGGAGGAGGAGAAGGAGAAGAAGAAGAGGGGCGGAGGCCATACCTGCGTCAGCGGTACTTACCTGGGCGCCATAGCCGTGCTCCACACTGGTACCTGGGCGCCATAGCCAAGCTCCACGCTGTCGACCTGCACAACAACAACAACAACAACCACAACAACAACCACAACCAGAAGAAGGAGGAGAAGGAGGAGGA